AATTATTATCTATTTTCAAAAATGAATTTTCTTTCGTTACTCTCAACTCATTCAATGAGAGAAGAAACAAAAAAGTAATCTTACACTCAATCTGTGGTTTGAATTTTCCGACTCGCAATAAACCAAGAAAAAAAAACTAAATATAGTACGGGCATGTCTGCTTTTTAGCTCTACTGGTCAGAGACCAGAAGAGCTTATGCGATAGTAAGGTGTCCGTTGTCCGTCCGTCTGTCTGTAAACAATTTTTCAAAACGCTACTCCTCCTACAGTTTTGGTCTGATTTCAATATTACTTGGCACACAAGTAGACTACATTAAGATACATAAAATAGTGCATCGGTTTTTAATTTCGATGAACTGTGTAACCATGGTTACTAAAAATAGAATTTTCTGTGAAATTCTTTTAAAATGATACTCCTCCTACAGTTTTGATCTGATTTCAATATAACTTGGCACACAGGTAGACTACACTAAGATACATAAAATAGTGCATTGGTTTTTTTTATTTCGATGAACGGTGTCGCCATGGTTACTAAAAATAGAACTTTCTGTGAAATTCCTTTAAAACGCTACTCTTTCTACAGTTTTCGTTTGATTTCAATTTTACTTGGCACACAAGTAAACTACACCAAGATACATAAAAAAGTGAATTGGTTTTTGATTTCGATGAACGGTGTTGCCATGGTTACTAAAAATTTACTTTGAAATTCCTTTAACATGCTAGCGTAACTCCTCCTGTGATCTGATTTCAGTATAACTTGGCACACAAGTAGACTACACTTAGAAACATAAAATGGTGCATCAGTTTTTGATTTCGACGAACGGTGTTGCCCATGGTTACTAAATATAGAATTTTCTGTGAAATTCATTTTAAACGCTACTCCTCCTACAGCTTTGGTCTGATTTCAATATAACTTGGCACACAAGTAGACTACATTAAGATACATAAAATTGTGCATCGGTTTTTGATTTCAATTAACTGTGTTGCCATGGTTACTAAAAATAGAATTTACTGTGAAATTCCTTTAAAACTCTACTCCTTTTACAGTTTTGGTCTGATTTCAATATTTCTTAGAACTCTAGTAGACTACACTAAGATTCATAAAATAGTTTATCGGTTTTTCATTTCGATGAACAGTGTTGCCATGGTTACTAAAAATAGAATTTTCTGTGACGCTACTCCTTCTACAGTTTTGGTCTGATGGCATTGGCTTCTTTTCTCATCCTTTGTCATACGTACAAACCAGTAGAGCTAGTCTCGACAGAGACTTCTGGTTCAAATTAAACTTAGATAAATAACAATGTATTATATTACTCTCCATATGATCATGAAGTTGACACAACATCTGATCAACTATTAACATTTACAGAGGATAGTAAAAGAGCATCAATAAAATATTTATTTGAAATTGATTAAAATTAATTAATCTTTCTTTTAAATCAAATAAATAAAAGAGAAAGGGGTGTTTCTTCCTCTTTTTTTGGAAGGGGGGGGGACGTTAAGGAATTTGAACAGCACAGTGCTCCTTAAACTGAAAAAAAAATTGCCCCTGGAGATTCAGGGTTATTTGTGTGATTTCCGCTCCAAGGGAGCTAAAGTTCCACCTTCTAGGCTGACAAGTTTGATACCACTGTACATGTAGGCGAAATAAAAAAAAATCCTAGGCCTACCATTGTAATATTTTAGTGGGTTAAATCATTTTCAACTTCCTTTCTTGCTTGTTTGTTTGCTATTATATTTGAAGACTTGGAGAAAGAAAAAAAAATACTCCAAATGATTAATAAAATTAAAATAAATAAAATTGAGTGTATACGTTACACCACAACACCAAATGTCATTGACTAAACCCAAATGTCCAAGATATTTGATATTCGCTACATGAAAAATGCTGGAGATGAAAACTATTTAAGGTTGAAAATGAAAAATTGAAAAAATCCCAGAAATGAAATTCAGCCGTTTATTATCGAGCTATGGGAAAACGACAGTTAATGTGACTTCAAATTTTTCAGTACCACACATATATACAAATGGCAATATATACTTGATTTTAATTGATCAGTTAATTTAAACATCAAGACTAGAGAAACCTTAATTATTTATTATGATTTATTATATTACGTGTAATCTATAGGATTTATTTTTTTTACTTTTTATATATGGTATTAGTTTATACTAAGTGTACTTATATCCACAAAATTACTACTCTCAAAATATATATTTTTTTACTAAGTCTAGAATGCCCACGACTTAATCTAAACAATTAGTGAAGTTAAAAAATCTGTAACATTTAGGAACTGAAAAAGTTTAATAAGTTTTAAAAAAAAATCACAGTATGTATCAGTGATGTACAGTGCCAAACTGGGATGCGTACTTTGAACTTCAGTGATGTATAGTGCCAGTCTGGGACGCGTACAGTGAGCAACAGTAGTGTACTGTGCTGTACAGAGGTTGAGTACTGTATGCGTCTGTGATGTACAGTGTTGTACTGTGGAGGCGTACAATGACAGACAGTGGTGTACTGTGCTGTACAGAGGGGACTTACAGTAATGTACAGGGACATACAGGAAATAACAGTGACTTTGTACAGTGATTTACCGGGGATGACAGTATGTACAGGGATTTTGTACTGTGGCTGTACAGTGCTCAAAGGTACTTGGATACAGATTTGAAGTTATTATTTTTCTCTACAATATTACAACTTATATGTTTTAATAGCATTTCACACAAAAATTAACTAAATATCTTAATTCATATAAAAGATATTAAAATTTCAAATTTTTTGGTGGGTTTGATTGACACATTCCTGCACTTTCACAAATTACACTGTAATTTTATTCTTAATCCTTAGGAAAAGTGGCAATCTCGTTGTGTATAAATGAAAAATATATCAATACTATAATCCAGAAAATTCAGAGTAGATATGTTCGAAAGCAAAACAAAAACATAATATATTGTCAGTCCGTGCAGTTGTGGTAAGCAGACTGTGACGATTGAATGCACCCAGTGAATTGTAAACATCAACAATAACAGAACTCGTGCCCTGTTTACAAAAACTGTGTACATAACACGAGTGTGCTCGATTTGCTAAACTCTGTACGCAACTCTTAGTTCGGAATGACGATACTTGTGAAGGAGTTTTGCTTTTTAATATTTCTACTCTGAATAAAATTATTTTTCTGGATAAAAGTTTTAATATTTCTCATTAATACACAACAAGATTGCCACTTTCCTAAGGATTAAGAATAAGGTTAAAATTTGTGAAAGTGCAAGGATGTGTCAATCAAACCCCCAAAAAATTGGAAGTTTTAATAACTTTTAAATGAAATAAGATTTTTTTTATTAATTTTTGTGTGAAATGCTATTAAAATATATAAGTCGTAATATTATAGAAAAAATATTGACTTCAAATCTGTGTCCAAGTACCTTTAAACAGAGAAAAGCAGAACTTTACCAGTGGGTACATGTAACAGAGATTTTTCAGAATGTCATGGAACTTTAAGTTCAGTAGTGTGAGGAGTAGCCATCCCCTGCCGACAGTTCACACCCGCCGTGTGCTCTTGTCATGATCGGGTGAATGGAAATATCCGTAAACTACCGGTATTAATGGCTTAACAATAAGCACAGGTATATGATTCCGAAGAATGTCAGTCAGCATTTGACCTTATGGTGCATTTTTTAAAGATTTTCACAGAAAGTAAGAGCTTATTTGTGTTGGGAACATGGAGTAGCAGGCAAGCGACAATGAATCTTGATCTCCTACTCGTCATTTTTATTTATAAGAACGCCTTACAAAATTACTTTCTTTTTTTTTTACAGTCCTGTAAGCGCGATAGCTGCACGTTTACACTGTTGGATTGAAATGGCGATAGTGTCATTACTCTGAGGGAAATTCACGAGAAATTGAAGCAATTTCATGTTGATATGAAAATAGACAAAACATTGATTCCAATTAGTTGATACTAATGGTAAAAAAAAACAATTATTTTTAATATCTCATAATTATAGTTAAAGAAAAATTATTCATTTTATTTTTGTACACATTTTTTATTTTTAGGTGACGGGAAATTGACGAAAATGGGGTTCGCGATGTCAATATTTTTTTTCCCAATTGCTAAAATTACTACTACAAAAACTTATTTTGTTAATTTATAAAGGACCTTGCTACTTGGACTAGATTTAATCTATTTTTAGTCTTTGCTTGACTTTTTTTGTCGCCCACATGGCGCAGTATTAAGAGTGTCTGTTCTAGAGTCGCGTTATGAGGAGTTAATTCTTACGTCGCGGGTTTGAATCCCACTGTGGGGGACGTGTACCTACACAATCTGATGATGTTTCCGCTTTCCATATCCATTTGACCAACAATGTCTGAATTGTTTAGAGAAGATATTTAGTACAGATTACCCTGTGTTTCCTGTATATTCTTGTGTAAAACTACATGTGTATCATTATGTGTTATTATATTAATAACTCATTGTGACCCCATCCTACCCTGGGGTTATGATGGGACTTTGAATCTGCACTATGCAAGGAAGATTTCATGTCGATATTATGCCCAGTGGTTCTTGAAACGATATTTAAAGATAATACCATCAAATTTTCACTAATTCTAAATTTTCTCCCCTTTTAAAAGAGCATGACCCTTTATTCAAACAAATTTGAAATCCCTTTACCTATGAATGCTTTGAGGGAAGTTTGGTTGAGTTTGGCACATTAGTTTCAGAGAAGTCATGTAAGTGAGAACTTCCCCCCTCCCTTCTGAGTCATGCTATATTCTCGTCCGATTTAAATGATTAATAGTTTTGCTATGCAAAAAAAGAAGGAAAAAAAACAACATATTTCCAGGAATTAAATAATCAAGGATTGATATTAATGATTATATCAACACACTGCAACATGTTTCTAAAATCATACATCAACGAACAGGATGCACATAAAAACTAGTGAAAGTCATAATTGTATATATATTTGACTCGAAGCGCTTTAAAATTACTTAGAGCAAAGTTTTAGTCAAAACATGAAGGTAGGTGATGAAATGTGATATAATGTTCTGGTTTAGGGAGAGGCTCTAATGATTATATAGTAAAAATGTTTTAATTATTTAAATATCTTCTCTGCTTCTGGGTATCATGCCGAAGATGAGGAAGGGTCTCTCTTCGAAAATTGTGAGTTTCGGGCGGGACTCTGATTGCTGACATTGAATTAAAATGCTTTAAAATCTACTCTATGGTATTAATCAAACATTCATTATGAGCAAGGTTACCTTGTTTAAAATTCTTAAATATGTGACCCCAGTGTTCCGGGTTCCTGTGCGGTGGGGCACTCTTAGTTCCTCAACTCTGCCTTTAAGTATTTTAAAAGTAATCGAAGAAAGCATTCTTAGTGTATTGAGCAATTCTGCCTCTTTCAAAATTGTGAATTTCATGGCCTTTGGTTTAATCACAATCTAATTTCAATAGTTGGAAAGTTCTTACATTACATGGTATTCATTCGTTTAGACTAGTATCACCCTCTGGTTTTCATTACCAATGTGATGAATTGGGGAATTAGCTGTGGCTGATGTGAAAAACTCACAATCACAGAATAGATCTAAAAAGACAGAATCAAATCTGTAGAATTTCAATGAACTTTATTACTTGAGACCAGATCGGAAAGTGTTTCAAATACAAATGAAAATCAATCATGTTAAATCTTACAAACAGTCATACAATGAACATCAAACATCGAAAGTATCAAAAATTAAAAAAAATGTAAAAATTATTATTTATAAACAAAGTCCTGAAAGTTGCATGACAAAATCACCGTCCGAGAAAAATCTATTTACTAAAGAAAATATCTGTACAAACTTTTATTTCTAAATCAAAACAAAGAATAATAAAGCTTACCGATTAAACTGTTATAAAAGTTTGTCATAATGATCAATTGAACAATAGCCGAATATCAAAGATTAAATAACTTTTGGCAGCTGTAGAATTTTGAGCTACAACTTTCGGTTTTAGCTTGTAAACACTTATTTCTACGCCTCCGCTGACTAGAGAGTTACTAATGAAATTTTAGCGGTAAATTCGAAATACAAAAATTTCAATGTAAACAAAAGTAAAAATTCAAAGAAAATCTTTTCAGAAAATTAGAGGCAAACTATGATTAAGAAATTATGTAAAAATAAAGTGAATTGATATGAGTTACAAAATAACATAAAATGTTTTCTAAAAGTAAGTGAGTTAAGTATTTTACTTATCAATGAAAATTAATATTGAACACAATTCATACTGTAACAGTTAAACAGTCAAACAAAGAAATCTACAAATTTCCTATAAAATTCCTTAGTAGACCTAAATTAAAAAATTACTGACTTAAGTAAATATTGTAGTCTGCTGAGAGTCATTTTGGGCAGGTGTTTCATTTTCCTGTTCATTAGTTTGGTCCTGAACTTCAGCATTTTGCAAATGGTCCTCTCTCTCTATTTCAGGATCGAAATAATGTTTCAACTGTGTGGCATTTAAGAATGATTTCACTTCCTTGCGTTCTTTGCAGTCTCTTATTTTGTAGGTGTAATTCGGTCCAATCTCAGATATGAAATAAGGTCCTTGGTACTTGTCGACTAGCTTTGGTGACAATCCTATTGGAACTTTGTGAGTTTTTATCATTACTTTGTCAAAGAGTTTGAAGTCAGGTACTTTTGTTTTCTGATCAAATCTTTCTTTATATTTTTCCTGATGCTTTTTGATGTTTTCTTCTGCAATCTCTTTGGCTAAAGTGATGTTTTCTACAATTTCATTGACTTGTTGTTTTGCATTTTTACCAAGTTTCTTGTTGTTTGGAATAGCAGTGACGTCATATGGCAAGTTCATCTCCATACCGAAAGCCATGAAAAATGGAGAAAAACCTGTAGATTGTGTTGACGGAGAATTTCTCAATGCCATGAGGATTCCTGGAAGTTTCTTTGGCCAGTTTTCTTGATGTTTATCAGTGTATGCCCGGAGACACTGTATTAGGGTACTGTTGGTTCTTTCAACTTGACTGTTCGTTTGTGGGTGATAGCTAGATGTAAGGTAATGTTTAATGTCTAGAATATCACAAAGAGAAGAGACAAGACTGTTCATGAAAGATTTTCCCCTGTCAGAAACGAGATACTTTGGACAACCATAACGAGAGAAAACATTCTCAAAGAGACAATCTGCGACTTCCGAACTTTCTTGAGTTTTCATTGGGAAAGCTTCAACCCACTTTGTGAAAGAGTCAACGACAAGTAAGACATATTGATAGCCTAGAGTTGTTTTGTGTAACTTAAGAAAGTCGATGTGCCATCGTTCAAATCGGTTGACAACTGGCAGAGGAGTTAAGGGAGGATTGCGTGCATGAGTGTCCCTTTTGATGCGTTGACAAGTGTTGCAGGAGTGGATGTAGTCATAGATCTCCTGGTGCATTTTTGGCCAATGGTATTTTGTTTTCATAGCAGACATAACCTTTTCTATACCTAAATGTGCTCCACCTGCAGAATTGTCATGATATGCTCTGAGAGCATCTAATCTAAGAACTCTTGGTAATGCTATCTGTTGTATCCATTTGTCATCCACTGGTAGATTGGATTTTACTCTTCTTTGAAACCAATGGTAAAGTATGCCATTACAAAGATCAAAGTATTTAGAATTTTGAACCACTTTGACTTGAGATTTTTCATCATCTGGTAAAGAACCATTTTCTAGATATGCATAAATATCTCTGAAATCTGGGCATTCACGCTGAAGATTTGAAAGATTTGAGAGAGTAGAGATATCTGTATTTCCAAAAGCAATCTCAATTTCAGGGTCAATTGAGTAAATCTCTGGATCATCACAATAGAAAAGTGAAACTTGAGTGGACTTTAAAATTGGGTCATTGGGTTCAGATTGTGTGTCTGGTTGATGATGTGATGATGCATTTACAGGCAGACTGTTGTCTGAAGCTTGGGGTGTGACAACATTGATTGAAGATTCATTCTCATGGTTGTTTGTATATTCTCGTCTACTTAGGGCATCTGCAACTTGATTGGACTTACCGGGCTTATGTATGATTTCGAACTGGTATCCCTGTATTTCCATTGCCCAACGAGCAAGTCTTCCTGTGGAACGTTTCTGGTCCATAACATACTTTAAAGCCTTATGATCAGTATAGATGGTAAACTTTTTGTCAGAAAGATAGATTTTGTAAGCACGTATTCCCTCAATAACTGCAAGCATTTCTTGCTCAGAAGTAGACCAATTTCTTTCACAAGGAGAAAGACTTCTACCTCCAAAAGCAATAGCAACTTCTTTACCAGAATCGTTAAGTTGACCTAAGACATAGCCAATGGCTGAAGATGAAGCATCACAGGTAAGTATGAAATTCCTACTAAGATTTGGATAAACCAAAATAGGAGAGGAAAGTAAAGAATGCTTGAGTGCATCAAAGGCTTCTTGACATTCATCTGTCCATTGGAATTTTGTGTCTTTCCTTAGGAGGTTGTTTAAAGGAGAAGAAAGTCTTGCATAATCTTTGACAAATTTTCTGTAGTAATTACACATGCCAAGGAAGGAGCGAACATCTTTTTGAGTTTTTGGAACAGGGAAAGTACTCACTGCCTTCGTCTTTTCTGGATTTGTTTTAATACCATGTTTGGAAATAATATGACCAAGATATTTTATTTCCTTGGCAGCGAAGTCACATTTGCTTGGTTTTAACTTGAGATTAGCTTGACGTAACCGAGAGAAAACCTGTTCTAGATGAGTCAAATGGTCATTGAATGTTTCAGAGAAAACCAAAATGTCGTCAAGATATATTAAACATTGACGCCAAGTCAGTCCCCTAAGAACTTGTGTCATAACCATTTGAAAAGAAACTGGGGCATTCATTAACCCATATGGCATGCGTTTGTATTCGTAAACACCACTTTGAGTTATGAATGCAGATTTATGCCTAGAATCAGGATGCATTTCAATCTGAAGAAAAGCACTGTGAAGATCAAGACTTGTGAAATACTGCGCCTTACTTTGACCAAGAGTATCGAATACACATTCAAGTCGAGGCAAAGGAAAAGACATAGGTTTTGTGATCTTGTTAAGTTTCCTAAAGTCTGTCACAAGCCTAAATTCACCAGAAGCCTTCTTAACTAATAAACAAGGAGAATGCCAGTCACTATTGGATTCTTGAATGATATCATTTTTCAACCAATCATCAACTTGTCTATTAATTTCAGCATGGTTAGCAGGAGTTGTTCGATAGAAAGGCATTTTGATGGGTTTTGCATTGGGATGAGTTTCAATTTTATGCATGTATGTGTTGCATTTACCTAACTCGTGATACCCTGTAGCAAAAATGTCTCTATGCTGACACAAAAATTGTTGTAATATTTCTTTTTGTTGAGCAGTGAGATCTGAGTTGGTAAGATCAAAAGTGATGTCATGTGTATTGGCTGTTGTTTGTGTATTGGCTGTTGTTTTGTTTGTTGTTGCGTGTGCATCATTTTGTGGTTTGACCATGTTAATTGAGGCTGTGTCGTTTGAAGATGGTGAATCAAGATTGTACACAGAGCATGCATCATGATCAAAATTTGAAACAGTTGCAACTATTTTACCCTTACACAAACGAATTTTCTGATTGGTTGGATTAAGCACTTTAAGACATGACTGACCATTGTTGACCTTGACTAAGCACTTAGAACCCAATACATGAAGATTGTGCAAATCTGTATCTAATGGCTCTAACAAAACTGTATCCCCTGAATTTCTGTTTGAAACTTTGACACATAAAATTGTTTCAGCATGAGGGGGTAAAATTGTTGATTTTGCTATTCTTGCTACACCACTATTTGACTTTAACATAAAAACATTAGCAGCATCGTTATGGAAAGACATAGTGTTGTTTGCTAAGTTTATGGTCACCTTATGTTCTTTCATGAAATCTAGACCAATAATCAAAGAATGTGGCAATTTGTCAACAACATGCACAGAAAAATTGAAAGTAGCACCTTGAAAAGATATTGGGAGGTCAAGCTTACCTAAAACTTTTAATCGACCTCCGACACCATTTACAAAATGAAAATCTGGTTTCATTAACACAGTATTGGCATAAGAAGTTTTGTTCAAAAATAAAGCACTAATTACAGAAATTGATGCGCCTGTGTCTACCAAAGCATTTGTTCTCTTCTTATTGATAGAAACATCAACAGTGTTCTTTACCATGTTAGTAGCTAGATTTAATTCTGCTGATTTAGCACTCTGATTCTGAAAATTTTCGAGGCGCCTACCCATATGATCATGATGATGGATAGGCCCGAATCCCTATTGTACTGATTCAAAATCTGTTAAATGTTTGAAAAATGGACTCTGAGGATTTGAAAAACATGCAATTTGAAAATGGTTGTACCCATAACAATAATAACATTGTTTACCAATAGCAATGCAATTCATTCTATCACAAGTGTTCTTAAAACAACTAGAGCACTTACTGGGTCCAGCCGGACGTTGGTACTGAGCAGGACGGTTACCATGCTGTCTGGTGAAGTCACTTGGCTGTTGGGCAGGATGTGGAAAACGGTTGCCATGGTTACCACCCATTGGACGACGTCCTTCGCGGTACTGTGAACCAGAGTTTGGGAATTGTTTATTACCACGGTAATTGTCTCTAGTTTGCTCATTCCTGCGAAAGTCACTATTATATTGGTTCGGATATCGTTGGGGTTGACCTCTACCTCGGGAGTTACCATTATATCTGGCCTGGTTTTGTGGTCCACTAAAGGCCATGACGGTGGATTCTAGTTGTTTTGATAGACGGTCCATTAGTCTATCCTCCATGCCCTCAATGGAAGCTATGACTGAGTCATTCTTTCTTAGTTTTATGGTGGACTCTGCGCGTTTGGCATATTTAAACAGGTCTTCAAAGTTTTGGGGATCTTTATGTAGTACCTTCTCAGCAATTTCGGCCTTAAATCCATTAGCTATCAAATTTATTAGCATCAGGTTAGGAATGTTATCATCACATGCCATTTGTTGAATTCGCGTAATGTATTCCTCACACGATTCATCAATCTTTTGTTTTACGTCGAGTACATCAAGGTTGAATGAGTTCTGCTTACCGAATCTAAGCAAGAACGATGCTTTCAATTGTTGTAGGGTGTTTCTGGAAGACTGGGGTAAGGACAGGTACCATTGTTGAGCCATATCGGTCAAGTAGAAGACAATTCTTCCCAGAATCTGTTGTTCAGAGAGCGAATGGAGTGAGCACCACTGTATAAACAGCATCCACCATTGTGTCGCGCTTACATTTCCACTCTTTCCAGAGAACTTAGGCAATTGGACACTGTTCTCCGACCTCAGCATTTCTGCAGATAATGGAACACTGCTTGTTACAGTTGACGTTGAAGTAGTTGTGTTTGTTTCGGTTGTTAGTGAAGCAGATGTCACAGTTTCTGTTATATCAATCAAAAGGTTTTCACTAGACACACTAACTGATGTTGACTGAGATATTGCTGGTGTTGTTGAATTTCCACTACTTTCACTTACTGATGTTGAATTGGGTACTGTTTCTGTCGAATTAACACTATTAACACTTCCTGATGTGGAGTCGGACACTGTTTCTGTTGAATTTTCACTACTTACAGTGACTGGTGTTGAATTGGATTCTGTTTCTAGTATATTTTCACTATTCACACTTACTGATGTTGAATCAGATACTGTGTCTGTTGAATTTTCACTACCGGTTGTTACTGGTGTTGAATCAGATGCTGTTGATTGCACATGTATAAGATTTTCTGACAATGGTGCAGATATTTCTGTTGTTGGTGGTAGAAGAATTGGATTTACAGATGTTGATGTTTCTAAAAAAGGATTATTTGATGTAGCTTGGACTTCCGTTGAACTTTGTTGGGTAAGTGCAGAATCACTTTTCTTAGCTGTTGAAATTGATGAACGGTCTCTCAGATAGTAAGTTAAATACTTCCTTTCTTCTTGATTGCTCATAACATTTGTTTAGGTAAGAGCAACTCGCTGGGGAGAGGTACACTGGGATCAGTTTGATTCTGTCACCACTTATCACCCTCTGGTTTTCATTACCAATGTGATGAATTGGGGAATTAGCTGTGGCTGATGTGAAAAACTCACAATCACAGAATAGATCTAAAAAGACAGAATCAAATCTGTAGAATTTCAATGAACTTTATTACTTGAGACCAGATCGGAAAGTGTTTCAAATACAAATGAAAATCAATCATGTTAAATCTTACAAACAGTCATACAATGAACATCAAACATCGAAAGTATCAAAAATTAAAAAAAATGTAAAAATTATTATTTATAAACAAAGTCCTGAAAGTTGCATGACAAAATCACCGTCCGAGAAAAATCTATTTACTAAAGAAAATATCTGTACAAACTTTTATTTCTAAATCAAAACAAAGAATAATAAAGCTTACCGATTAAACTGTTATAAAAGTTTGTCATAATGATCAATTGAACAATAGCCGAATATCAAAGATTAAATAACTTTTGGCAGCTGTAGAATTTTGAGCTACAACTTTCGGTTTTAGCTTGTAAACACTTATTTCTACGCCTCCGCTGACTAGAGAGTTACTAATGAAATTTTAGCGGTAAATTCGAAATACAAAAATTTCAATGTAAACAAAAGTAAAAATTCAAAGAAAATCTTTTCAGAAAATTAGAGGCAAACTATGATTAAGAAATTATGTAAAAATAAAGTGAATTGATATGAGTTACAAAATAACATAAAATGTTTTCTAAAAGTAAGTGAGTTAAGTATTTTACTTATCAATGAAAATTAATATTGAACACAATTCATACTGTAACAGTTAAACAGTCAAACAAAGAAATCTACAAATTTCCTATAAAATTCCTTAGTAGACCTAAATTAAAAAATTACTGACTTAAGTAAATATTGTTATTTAAAGATAAAAACTATTTAAGAAATTTAGAGTAAAAATTAATAAAAACTTACCTAAAAAGACAGAATCAAATCTGTAGAATTTCAATGAACTTTATTACTTGAGACCAGATCGGAAAGTGATTTTACTAAAATCACTTACCGATGCGGTCACTCTACAGATTTGAATTCTGACCAATCAGGAAGCAGTATAGCAAAATAGTTTTAGCCAATTTCGGCAAGAGTTCTTTTATGTTTGACACTAATTGCTTAACTAACGAAGGTGTTAACTCAATTACTTATCTGTCCGCATACGCTTTTTTTATAACAAAGACGGATTAAGAAAAGCCGAAACAAAGTAAACATTTTCCGTGATGAGGAATTTCGTAGTGTCAAGTTAAGTGTATACAGAATTTTATTTCTAACGATGCCGAAATTAGAAAGAATTTACTTATTTACTCATTGGCTTGCTATGACGACTTGATCTTAAAAGACATGCTAATTTCATACAAAGAAAGTGAGAAATGACTTTGTTACCTAGAAATCTAAAATCTAAATATTCACAAGTGACAAGATGTCACTATCAAAAGAACAAAACATTTTTCCTAAATTAAACTAGACATGGCAAGAAACTGTGCAAAATTGAGTAATATTACATGTTGACAGTTTAAAGCATATTTTAATTATTGTTAATCAAGAATCATGAGTTTAAGCTATATTTCAATTTTAACTCATGAATTAAAAATTCATGTAAGATAGTTATAGATAAGTTTAAACTTTAGATTTAAACTTTTAATGTAACACTAGTAACTAAATAAGTAACGCAAGATGAACGATTTATTCAGAGTTCCGAATGACAATGAGGACTGAACGATAAGTGAACAGTTAATGCAAGGTGAACGCAAAGTAAACGGAACGAAGAGCGAACGGTGAACGCGAGCGCACGGTGAACGGTGAACGCAATACTGTGAACAGAGACCGAACGGTGAACGAACGGAAAAATGGGAAAGTAGAACGTTTCAGGGACTGTAACAAATATTAAAAAAAGGATATTTTTGGAGAAAAATTTTAACAGAAAATGTGCATATTTAAAGAAAAATGCGCGTGCGTAATTCTGTCCTTTTTGGGAAAACCAACATTGTAGAAATAACTAGAGCTGAGCTCGTTGCAAAGCAACGAGTAGGTCTTCCGTCGGAGCTGCGGACAGGGAGAAATGACCTTGGGTCAAGGTCAGTCCACGTTCTAATGTTAAAGCAATCTTTTAAGGGTAGATGTCATCTTATTTATGTTTTACTATTAAAAAAGATAGTAAAGGACTGTTTGCGACCTTGACCTTGTTAAAATGACCTTACGTCACATCATGACACACGCTGGTGATAAGCAAAGCCATTTGTGTGCTACTGTATTGACGAATTCTTAAGCTATACTTTTTTCGATAGGCCTTGTCACAGCTAATACGTACGTTATACATGTGTAAATCTAGGTATGAAAGCGTTATCCTTTCTTTATCAAAAGTCATGGTCAATTTTAAGCAATGTTTAAAGCGGTTAAACTTCAAGGTCAAAGTTCATTATATGCTAGTATTTGAAATGATTTTATCACAGGTTACATACATTTGATTTTTGTGTAATACGAAAACCCTATCTCTTCTCATTCAAAAGTTATGATCAAGATTAAAATTGTGAAAAGTAAGTCAAGCCTCAAGGTCACGTTGTCAAAATCAACGTATCGGTATTTAAAAAAATGTTGTTACAGGTAATACACAGTGGTAAAATAAAAGCCTTAATCGATCTCTTTTCTCTCAAAAGGTATGACTATGGTTAATGTTTTTGAAAAGTGGGTGAAACTTCAAGGTCAAAGGGTCAAAAATCATAATGAATTTTCAAAGGCGTTGACACAGGTATTACATGTACATGTTTATAAAATGAAAGCTTTCAATAGTTATGGTCAATTTAAAGCAATGTTATTTTTTAAGTAGGTCAAGATCAAGGTCACGGAGTTAAAAATCACAGTATATTTGAAAATCACATGTCACAAATAATGCACATGTGAAATATGAAAGTCCTATTTCAACTCATTCAATAGTAATTATCAAGTTTAAAGTTCTCATGACAGATAGACAGACTGCCTGACGAATAAGGTTTAATGTACCCTAATAAAAATAAATACACGTTATTTGAACGTGATAAATTGAGAAATACGAAGAATAAAAAACTAGAAAATATTAGAAAAAAATTGCACTGAAGCTATATTCAATATCCGTGTTTTTCAACTGCTTGAATCTAAAAATATTATTTACCGTGTGTATCTAACACATTCCTTAAACTTTTCTACAGTTAAACATTCCTTACAACCGTTTTTAATAGTCCTTCTGAGCCTGAACTTGAGATAATATGGATGGCACTGTAGCTCTCTGGTGATCCATCTCAATTTTTTTTAGAACAGCTAGCGAGCTACAGATCTGCAGCATGACAATTGTCATAAAGTCAATTTTACAAATTCATTTGAAATGTAACAGAATTGAATTTTATGAAAAGAATTATTTCTAATGCTTATTTTTAACAAATGCTAAAATTATTTACCTATCAAGTTAAGTTAAGACAGTAAAAAGGAATTTGATACTCAGTATTTATCTAAGGAATTAGTGTCAATCCTCAACCTCAAAGAGCGTTCGACTTGTATGATAATTGCGTATGTGTGATGAAACTGCCGTGAACTATCCCGGACGTGAACATTAGATGTACTGGACATTCCGTCATCAAGAAAATATAGTTTTACTCTGGACTATTCTGAGTTACCAAAACGTTTGTATGTATGTTCATGTGTGAGCGTTTCAACCTGTCTTTGTTTTATGTGACTTGACTTGATTTATTTTTCAAAATACAAAGGTTCATTCTCTATAAGGCCGTTTTCCGGCCTACGATAAAATCACTTTAAAATGTGATTTTATATAACTATAATCATTCTAGTTCATGATTTTGATGTTTGTTTTTCAACATCGATCATCTAAGTCACGTGATTTAGAGATAAAAAATGGCTGTCAGTTAAAGAAAAATTGAGGGTGGGACTATTTAAATCAAATTTCTATGCATGTTTTTGAATGTAAATGCTCAAAAATTGTTTATTTATGTCGGAAATACATCAGACCTAAGTATAATATATTCGAAGAATTTTTAAATTTAAGGTTTCAGATATTTTTTATGACAAGAATTCTAATGCATCCACATTTTGCATATTTTGAACGTAAATCTTTACCAAATTCACACTGTACGGTGCTGAAAAAAGTTTGATTTGCAATTTATTGAAAAGTATTATTCACATATAATTATATTGTAATTGTATATCATTTCTATAGATGTGGTTCCTATTTTACGCATAAAATGACCATGTAAGAAATGAGGTTTCTAAGTTTCTATTGAACTATAAAAGTTATGTATCAAATGTTGAAAGCGCCGAGTTGATTTTGATAGTGATTAAATAAAACCGAGGTAGTAATTAATAAGAGAAATTCAACAATTGTAAAAAAAAAAAAAGAATTAATTAACAGCATAAAAATATCAGTGCAAGTACATGTTGACTATCCATATACATGTACATAGTCAATACATATAACTCAGAGCGGTTGCATTAAAATATACATCTCTAAGTAAAATGAAATAGCGTCATAAAATGGCTTTGCTTTTATTCAATTACTCGTGCTGCACTATATATTCAATTAAAAATGCCTTCTAAACTTCATGTATTTACATGTATAAAAGTTGAGAGCCCCCCCCCTCTTCAGGTCTAACGGCACAACATAAAAATGGAGCAGAATTTTAGCAGTTCCTTCAACTATGCATATCAGATTCTGAAGTTTTCGTATTTACTAGTATACGGACTTGAGAGTTCTACAACATCCCATGTACAAAATGGACCCTTGGGGTTTGATGCTCCTTTCCCATTCTTGAAACCTGTAGGTAAAATTCAGTCTCTTTCCCAGTGCAGCGTCAAAGACTTGTGACAGTTCCCTACCTAAGTCTTTAGCATTTAAAGTAAATGTCATCGGTCTTTATCTTTTTTTTTTACAAAAAAGGGTCCCGTCCTGCGTTGGACGTTGGTTATTAATGCAACTATGCATAAACACTTGACCTTAACTGGGTGATTTCTTTATCTGGTTGAAAAATTCTTAAATGGGGTAAATGGGGTAAAGCAATATTCATTTATAAATCACATAATACATTTAGTAATCCCCCTCCACTTTACCAGTTTATTTTCTAAGACAGGACTAATGTTATCGTAATCTATGTCGATGAGTCCTCTTAATATTAAGACCCAGTTATCAAAATATGGATCAAATGATACTCTTACGGAAGTGAATAAATAAATAAAAATTTTGTGTGTACCCATAGGAAAAAAGTCAATGATACAAATAATAAATGTATGTTACCACTTCAACAAAGATTGCTTTCATCATTTCTAAAACATAAACAGTACTCATAAGGAAATACAAAGAATATTTGCAGAACTCATAACGAAGTTCAAAGAAGTAGCATATATAGATATACTAAACTATCATTATAAATATAAAAGATAACTCATATTCACACCTTATATTCGATAAAAAGTTCTTAATTCTTTATTTTTATTAGACATTTCAAAGAAACGTCTCCACTTGTAATTTCATGACATCCAGTCTTCTCAGTCCTTTGATTTTTAGATTTTCAAGTAAAACGTTCACTTTTTTTTAGTAAATATGCATGGCTGTTATAAACCTTAGTAAATCAACGGAAATTGTAATATAACCAAAAGTTTATAAAAAGAAATAATCTACATAAGCTGATATCCTTCATTGTGAGTAGTTATCTTTTTCTGCAAATATTGTAAAAATGAAGTGAAAGGTTTTTATTTAGATATCATAACCACCTTTAACCAAATTCATAATTTGGTAGTCTCTTTTTATGTTTATAAGAAATTTACATGCAAATTTTGGTGTTGGTTAAAGGTGGTTA